GGGTAAATTTCACCAATGGTACCTGAACTTTAGCTGGAATTTCGAAGTGGTACCTGAACTTCAAATCCTTTCACAAAAATCCCTGAACTTACACAATCCTTTCACTAATGAGCCATTAGCCCGTTTCTAGGTTAACTTCCGGTCATTAGGGCCAAATTCGAATTTTATATATTTTAAAATTTTCAATTTGACCCCATTTCTTCTTTTCTTTTCTTCCAGGCCCCGCCGCCGCCGCCCGCCGGTCAAAGTCGCCGGAAAATGAATTTTTTCCGATTCCGGCGGGACCAATGTCATTCTCTTCGTCTTGAGACGAGGATCAATAATATCCAAACCATTTTGTCTAATTTTGCCTGTAACTTCTCGAATATGAATTTTTCTACTCGAAAAAACCCTAGAATCGAAATTGGGTCCAAAATGGGGGGTTTTGCAAATCGTCATCAAATCTTGCAATTGAGGTGTCCTTGGAGGTCGCCCGGATGCCACGACCGCATTGGAGTGGATGTCCGCCGTCAATTTCGCCGGCGTTGGCCGGAAAACGCTCCGACCCGCCGGCGTTGGTCCAAAATGAGACGAAGAGAATGACATTGGTTCCGCCGGAATTGGAAAAAGTTCATTTTCCGACGACTTTGACCGGCGGGCGGCGGCGGCGGGGCCTGGAAGAAAAGAAAAGAAGAAATGGGGTCAAATTGAAAATTTTAAAATATATAAAATTCGAATTTGACCCTAATGACCGGAAGTTAACCTAGAAACGGGCTAATGGCTCATTAGTCAAAGGATTGTGTAAGTTCAGGGATTTTTGTGAAAGGATTTGAAGTTTAGGTACCACTTCGAAATTCCAGCTAAAGTTCAGGTACCATTACTGAAATTTACCCCTTTTCACACACACACATATTTATTTATTTATTTATTTTGGAACGATCGGTTACAAGCAGGGGTCTGAGGCCGTTAACCTCGTGACCACCCCGAGGCCTGTTAAACGCCTGAGGCAGATAGCCCACTATAAGAAGCCCAATCTAAAGCCCAGCCCCATAAGTTTGCAAAAACACTATATTTCAAAACTATATTTTAAAATGAACTCAATTTATTAAATTTACATAATAATGAAATATTTTTCCATAATTCATGGTCAAAGGATGCCACTATTTGATCAAAAAAGTTAAAGGTTGTCATAGTTTAACTAAAAAAGTTAAACTGTGATAATCTTTTAGAAATAGAGAGAGTAAGTAATGAGACATGACTGGTCACATTCTTTTCATGTTATTTAGGGTGTTTGGAGTCTAAAGAATCTCTCACACTCTTTCATTTCAGTATTTTACTATTTCAGATTTCTTTTCTCTCTTATAGAAAAATTACTCCACTACCCAAGAGTCTTTTAAGACAACCATTATGATGAGCTTGGATCCTCCTTCTATTCTATCCCACTTCCTTGTACCTACAAAAAATATGTTTTGGGTACAAACAAAACATTAACCACTAGAATCACAACATATGTAAACATTAGAAAATAAAAGCTACTTTGTGCCTCTTTAGTAAACACTACCTCTAGAATGAAATGTGTAAAATCCATTAATAGTCTGGTAGATAAATGCTTCGAAGTCTTTTGGGCATCACATGTAGACGTACAATGTCTGTCTATAGCTAGTAATAATATAGTAATATTACGTCTTTTTTTAAAAAAATATTTCGTATACAAGAGTACGAATTTTATTACACACATTATACTGTATTAAGAATTATACCAAGCCAAACTAGAAAAAATTTCAAGACGGGAAATCTAATTTTGCAGTACCAGCTTAAATAAGAGTCATGCTAGAAACTCATCACGATTGACAACAGTATGTGAATTTACACACACATAGATGATAAGCGTTAGTGAGCACACAAAACTTACAGACGACTGCCAACGATTGTCATACATGGTGTCACTTGTTGCGGGTTTGGAGTACTTTTATTTAAAATAAAATAACATCTGTTAATATCATAAATTCAATTGTTCCGTTATTGTCATATTTGCCTTTTCTTCACGTTATCCAATACCAAAGATAAAAACAAAAAAACCTTTTTCCCATTAATTTTCCATTTAATTTTTCACGATTTTAATGTAATATCTTGACTATTAATATCTTTATTTTTATATAAACATATATTATAAAAATAATATACGTAATATGTCAAACCCATATTTCAAAATGAATCTGTTAATAAAGACTATATGAAAATTTTCCGTAGTAATATGTAATCAAAGTTAAATTTGAATGGAGAAATTAGATTGGAAAGTTAATTCCTTTCCGCAGTCTCCCTTTTGTTTGGCAGAAAATTACTCACGGGTGATGCGAGTTTTGTTGAAATAACTCTCAGGTCCCTCTATTTTCAAGAAGACATCAGAGGTCCTTACATTTTGTTGTAATGACTGGAAGGGGACATTTCATCCAATATTTCATCTATAAACGTTAATAAATGTATATTTTTCCTATTCTTTTCTAAATGTTTTAAGGTAATAAATCTTAGGTCGCTTCTTTTTTTATTTCTTTATTTTTCTTTCATTTTGTTACTATTTTTTAAAGTGTTATTTTAGAATTTCTTCTATAAAATCGTATAAAAATTCAAAATTGTTTGTCTTATATTAACACAAATGAAATAAAAAAATTTAAAAAAAGAAAAAACAAGGTAATGACAAAATAGGAAAAAACGGCATTGGAAAAATAGAAAAAACAATACATTTATTAACACTTATGTATTGGAAGAAATGTTTCCTCCCAACTAATTTTCTGTGTTGTTTGGCGATTCCTCCATTTATTTGACGGGCTTCGCCGGCCTCCGACTTCGACGACGCGCAGAGACAAACGAAGAAGATAACCTACTGTCAGGTTAGGTTTTTCTCATTTATACGCCAATCCTTCTGATATTCTTCTTTGTGGATTCGATTTCTTACATCGACGCAGATTAGGGATTATTATTTGAAATTTGTGTCATTTCTTGCTGCTTTTATGGGTGCTTCACTTTTTAGCTTCGAATTACAGTACTTTATTCTTTGAAATTTGAAAGAAATAAGAATGCATCAATCTAAGAGTTTGAAAAATTCAAAAAAAAATTGAAAAAATCTGAAAAAACACGATGGCATTACGGTAAATAAGTTGAACTTTACTCCCAGTGCGGTAAATGCACTAACATCCCACTTGGTCTATTCTCGCAGCAAGGACCATTCTCACTTGAACCACCCCTATACACACACACACGCACTCCATCCCTAACCTATTTGTCTAGGATTTGACTTATTTGAGTTAAACTAGATGAATTTTAATCATCAATTACATTAGATTTGCTTTACATATTAATCCCAAGAAATAAATGTATGAATTTTTTTTGTAAGACAAATCAAATGAAATTCTGTTTGTACTAATGTCCCATACATTTTTTATTTAATTGACGACCAAAGTTTGTCTAGTTTGACTAAAAAATGTCAAACTGGTCGAATACTCTGTGACGAGAGTAGTGTTCAACATGGTACTGAGAACTCAGAAGAGATGGCACCTTTGATTCATCTCAATTCTCCTTCTTAGTTTAATTCATCTCATTCTAAAAACTAAAACAAAGTGCACTTTACCGGCCGTCAATTGATGACATTGAGCTGGGCTATAAGCCTGTAAAAGATCATAGAACGTATTGAAACAGAATGTACATTTGTGCTAGATATTCGGTTAACTGATGCGATTGTATTTGCTTATTTTCTTTCGATTGTAATGTTGTTGTCTTTTGATTGGTTTTGAGATTATTACTCCCTCCGTCCCATTATTTCTAAAGTAAGAATGAATGTGAACTACACAAATTTCACCAAATATAAACGAGACTATGAGATCACAACAGTGGGACGTTAAAAAAAGTAAAAAGGAACAAAAAGAGTGGGCCGGAAGGAGTATATAATTTGCACCCGAGTTTTTTTATTTATCAGATTTGCCAGAGGTACACAGCATATGTGTTCCAAAAATTTCTTATTTTCAATGGTGAATTTATTTGATAGAAACTGTATTTTATTTCATTATTGTTTTTCGCATCCTGGTTGAACAATTAACTGATTATTACTTGCGTTCAATTATAAAATCCTACTCTGCAATAATTAACCATTCCAACTTCTCTACTTAATATGTGAGCAGTTTAATTGGTTTTTTGTCTTCTTAAGATTAAAGTTTAAGATATTCAAGGAGTCCATCAAAATAAGCTGAAAACAAAGTTTTTAAATTATACGAGATTCTTCGTTTCAAAGCTGGTATAATTCAAACTGCCTTTTAAGTTATAACCATTTATCAAAATTGAACCTATATTAAAATACTTGAAACCTTATCCTCTAGGTATCATCTCCAATACAGTTAATATCACTTTGTTTCCAGATATTATTTGTGAAAGCCGATGCCTTTGCATGGACCGCCGCTTCCAAGGCTTCTCCTTAACAATGTGGGTTGCATGAGAAATGCACAGCAAATCCTTCGCCACGTAAATGTTTCTCTCAATGGTAGGCATTCTTGTTTTGTTTTCTTAAGAATATACTACCTCCGACCCAGTGTATTTTTTGTCCAGTTTGACTTTTTTGAGTCAAACTGGATAAATTTTGAACTTCAATTACTCTCAATTTGTATTGCATATTAACATAATGAAACAATTTTGAAAGTTCTCAATATGATAAATTTAATAAAGCCATTTTTATATTAAAATATATCACGGTTTTTATTTAATTGAAGCTCAAAGTTTCTCCAGTTTGACGCAAAAAAGTCAAATCAGACAAATACATTGGGACGGATGGAGTAGGTCCTAACTGTTAGTGTGGCTTTTCTTTGGCAAATTTGTATAGATAACCTAACTGAGGGATGGGAAAGTCTCATCTGTTAGTGTCTGATTTGTAGAGGTTATTTGTGTAATTTGTGTTAGATTTTATGCTTTGTTTTGTGTTTTGGGTTTTGTTGCTCTTGTTTGTGCTTGGCTTTGGTGTTCTTTGGATTATGCTTGGGTTGGTTTTTGGAGTAATGATTTATTGCTTATATGAGAAAGTCAATGGTTTCTTATATAGATTTTATGTTTTGTTTCACATTTTGGGTTTTTGTTGCCTTTGTTTTCGTTTCTAATTTGGGTGGGTGTTCTTTGGCTTATGTTTTGTCTCCACCCCGACCCCACCCCAATTCGTCGTTTTGTTATAGTAAGTATTATAGTAAATCGATGAACTGAGGTGAGGTTGTTGTTATAGTAAATATTGTAGTTAAACGATGAAGTGAGGTGGGTTTGTGGGTAATGTTATGAATTTTATTTTCTCTTTTTAGTATACTTTATTCTCTAAATTTCTTTTTCTTCCATTTTTCTTTTATTTTTTCTCTAATTGGACAAAATACTCTGACAAAACTAGCAACATCTTTCATTTCCCTAAAAAGATACTACCTCCGTCCCATTTTATAACGCCTATTTCGGTTTACGATATTTGACTGAAATTATTTTCAAACCATTTTATATGACAAATGGTATAGAACTAAAAAATAAAAATTACATATTAAAAAACTACATCAAAAGATCTACAAAACTAGTAGTGACAATAATATTTTATTTTATTAAATTGCTAACGAAAATAGAGAAACAAAGTGAATGAAGTTTGACCATGTGAATAGTAAACAAGCATTATAATTTGGGACGGAGGGAGTACTCCGTAACATTTTGCTCTTGTGTAGAGTAACTTGTATTATGAGATAAACACATTTTCTTTTCTTTTCCTTCCAAAATTTCCTTAAACCAAACATAATATAATTCTTTTAATTTTGATAATAAAATATTTTTAAAAATATAATGAGCTATAATATAAATTTAATATCAAAATATTTATTTTTAAATAAAGTTTTAAAATATTATATTTGCATAATATACTCATATTTATATATAAATAAAGATATTAATAATTAAAATAAGGCCCAAATAGCACTAGAACCCTTATAGTTTGGAAAATTGGCACCAATCATTTTTGTTTTCAAAACTTATTTTCTACAGTCCTCGTGATTTAAAAACGTTGCACTTATACCACTCTGATCATTTTCCGGTGAAGAAGGTGGCATTGATGCCTATTTTCCAAACAATAGGATGCACTGATGCTCATTTCTTATTTTATTTGTTTTTTCCCTTTATTTCTTTTATTAATCAAGGCTTTTTAAATTTCTTTTTATTTTTTCATAATGTTCTTAAAATTTAAAATTTAAAATTATTTTTGTTTGAAAAAAAGGTAACATATACTGCATATGTATGTCTCAAATTAATTGTTTTTGTTTTTGGAAACAAAAAAGTAAAAACGTTTTTGAGAATTTCAAAAAATGACGAATAGAATAAGAAATAAAATAAAAAAAAATAAAAATGAATATCCTTGTTGGATATCCCAATTCTAAGGACTTTTTTAGATGTTTGAATTATTATTTTTGCATTAGACTCTCTTTTAAGGTTTGAAAATCAGTGCCACACAGTTAAAAAAATTAAAGTTTCACGTGTAAGACTAAAAAAAGGTAGGCTCCATATAACACTTTAATCCGTCCAGGTCTGCAGTTCCTTTCGGACTAAAGCATAAACTTGGTATTCGTAGACATTCAAAATATTTCAAACATTTAATGTAACACCCCGGCCCCCACCCTGGCCGTAAGTGTTCGCTCATAGGATTGTAAACTGGCCCTACAAACCAACACAAGTCTTTCCCGCACACATTGTCCTCACTCGTGCGCGCCCAAGGAAAGTTTCCAGGAGGTCACCCATCCTAGAATTCCTCCAAGTCAAGCACACTTAACTTTGGAGTTTCTAGGTGATGATGAGCTCTCGAAAAGAAGATGCACCTTGTTGGTATAAGTAGTACTATAAATCCTTTTGAGCTCTTCCCATTCCCATCTTGTTACGGGGTATTACATTTAAAACTTTATTTCATAATAAATAATTAAAAATAGTAATGGAGTAATTTAATGTTGCGGAAGCTTAATAAAACATAATGCAAACATAATTAATTTATGTCTTTTCAAACAATAATTCAAATCCAACACACACATCCGTCCGGCCTTCTCGTCCCATCTGCCCCCAGGAAATCATTTCTTCATTCTTTTTGTTTACCTGCGTGTAGCAAATAAAACATACTACACGCTCAATGTTTAAACTGAGTGAGCATATCTAATGCGTCGAACATCCATATAAACTAAATCTAAATTCATAATCAAATCATTTGATATCATGCACATTATGTTTTGTTCAGATACTCAATAATCATTAGTCAATATTCTTCATTTGTTATTTCATTTTCACATTTTTATTCGTCATTTATAATAATTACAATATTTAATTCATTATTCATCATTTAATATTTATTCATATTCAATATTCAATACTCAATATTCAACATTCAACAATATCCTTAAACTTATTCTTAGTCTAAGGCCAATCACTATAATATTTGTCAACCCTTAAACGAATTCTAGTTTAAATAATTAAACTATATTCCAGTATAAAGTACTTCTAAATAATCCTTAAGCTAGGTCTAGTTTAAGATAAAAGGGTTTTGAAAATCTTAAACTTACCTTCACTTAAAGTCAACCAAAAACCGACAGTATAGTGTTCATTGTTGGGTGGGTGGTACCACCAAACGAGTAGGTACTCAAGTTTGGTTCTTGGATCCCGTACGAACGTTTTAACCATAGCCACCGGGGTTCATACCCGCAAGGCCTATTTCTAATCTATCTCAGAGGTCTTCTAGATAGTATTATAAACCAACATCAATAGGGATATATCTTAGAGTTCTTCTAGATATCCTTTATAGTTTATCATCAATTTCCAAATGGGTATATCCTAGAGTTTTCTAGATATCCTTAACAGTACAATTCATCAATCCGAATTATTTCATAATTATCGTTGTATTCATTTCAAATCATAGTTTAAATCATTCACAATAATTATTTTAATCAGTGGGTTCATCATCAATAGTCATACATAACAATAATCATCATAATATTTAATAACAATTAGCGGCCTATCGTCGAGTATTAACACCCTAGCTTACTGTCATACATCACGTAAAGTTCTCTTAGTTGTCAAAACACCATTTTTATTTCACGAGATCATCTTTATATTCATCATAATTTATTGGTATCAAAAATAAGATTCCATAGTTCAAAAATAATGTTTTTCTAAATAATAATTGATTAATATATGATAGGAAATTTAATTATTAGCTACTGGCTTTATTTTCTTCAATAGTGTAGGGAGACAGTCTACTGTCACTTCTGATAATCTACTATCTGATGTTCAGAATGGCCTGATAATCGATTATCAGGCCATTCTGATAATCGATTATCAAACTTCAGAGAGGGCTGACTGTCGATTGTCACATTCTGACAATCGACTGTTGCTCAGCTCTATTTCAAAAATCTGCAGAACAAGCCATAGTCGATTTTTAAGTTGATAGTCGACTAATCATCGTCTTCTACCTCGAGTCAACTTGCGAAAATGCCATTTTTACTTTCCAAATTTCAATTAAAGTATATAAAAATGTTCTTCAAGATTCATAGATCATTTTGGCATCATTAATTCATAGTTTTAACATCAAAATCATGGTTTACGATTCTTAGTTCTTCAAACATGTCAAACACAAAACTCAACCAAACGATCGTTTATTAACATAGAAACGATCTATATGAAAATTCTAGTCACTAGATATATATACAGGCTTACCTTAATGCTAAACGATGATTCCCGTGAAAAGACGGTGAAACTTCTGGCAAACACCACGGCTTGCTCCGACGACTTGACACCAAATTGGTAGTACTACAATGCTCCTCACACTTAGCTCTTTCTATTGGTGGACAATTGGGGGTTTTATAGTAGAGGGTTAGTAGAAGAAGTCATGAGTGATGTCCTTGTTCCCTGTTCCAGCGGCTGAGTGGAGCAAACGGTGATCTTCTACGAGTTTTAAACGCAAGTCCCTGATCGGGACTAATTTTGGTCCCAGTCGGGGTACACTTTTTGGTCCAACTTTCTCCGAATTAAAGTCCGATTGAATCATTGCGTTCAGACAGTCAAACTCTACACAACGATTTAATTTTTATTACACTCCATATTTTCCCTTTTCGATTTTTCAAGTAAGCTACTTGTATCCCAAATTGTTATGACAAATTTTATGGTGGACCTAAAGCACAATATGGACTTACATATGAGTAAAATAATCATTTTTTATTTCTTAAATACGAATTTTTTTTTAAAATAAAAACAAAATATTTTTTTATGTGAGAAAATCTACAAAATTGATATGCACCCAAGGTGGACCAAATAACTACTCCCTCCGTACCATGAAATATGAGACTTTTACTTTTTATGAGGAATTTAAGGGGAGTGTATTTTGGTATTGAATTTCCAAAAATGTCCTTTGATGTGATGGGTAAAAGTATGATTTGATGGATAGATTATTAGTAAAAAGGTATGATGTGATAGTTAGGGTATGAAAAAGTAAGGGGTAAAAGTGATTTTTTAATAGAAATAAGAAATGTTTTGTGGGACGGATAAAAAAAGAAAGGAGAAAAGTTTCATGGGACGAAGGAAGTATTTAAAAGTTATATCCCAAATTGTACATTGCTAGTATGCACCTAATTTTGTACTAGTGTGATGCGAGGATGATAGTTTCTACAGACACAAAATATTACGAGTAGTATAAAATTTTTAGATCGTACTGCTCTATTCGACCTAGAACGTTTTTCTAAGCTACTATTCATACGGTCAAACTTTAATCATGTTCTTTTTATTAGTTATTTGATAAAATAATATACTATTATCATCTTTTATTTAGTAAATTTTTTATATAATTTTTAAATATATAAATTTTAATTTTAAACCAACAATAAATGAATTGAATTGAGTGAGGAAATATTGTGAGGAAATATTGGGTAGCTGTTGTTTCTACTTTTCCGAGTTCCCACTAGTCCCTGTAAAACCCTAATTAAGTCTTCCTCTCTTTGTCTATCTCTTAAAACCCCCACCCAGTTCCATACTTTCTACTCACTCTCAGAAAATGGGCAGCGTCTTCCTCAGGAGATCTTCGGCGTCGCCGGCCTCCAAAAGGTTCGTCGCCACCGCTATATCCCATTTCTTTCACTCGTCTTCGGCCTCAGACAAGCTGGTTCCCTGGAATGCCCCCCAATTTCAAGCGGTTACCGGAGTTCGTAGCCTTCCGAGCATCTCGAAATTTCCGGCGCCGGCGCCGTCAATTTGTCGAGCGGTGAGGGGTTTCCACGTTTCTCAGCCGTTGGCTGCGAATCAAGCCGTTGCGGATGTAGCTGACGATGATGCAGGCCTTGAGATCGCCAATCTCGGTATTTCTCAGGAGATCGTATCTGCCTTGGCTCGGAAGGGAATTACGAAGCTCTTCCCTATTCAGGTGTTTAATGGGAAAAAACCTGAAATTTCGTATTCGTTTTTTAATCTCAATGAATGTTCATTTCCATTTTAAAATGTGCTGGAGTTATTTCTTTCAATCTCTATCTACTTGAGGACTTGCAAGGTCAATCATACAGTTTTCTTAGTCACTTATCTTTCTTCTCATTTGATTAGTTTCACTATTTTTATATAATATAAAACATACAAATATAATATTTCAAAATTGCATTTCGAAATGAATTTGATATTAAATTTATGTCACAATCCAATGTATATTTTTCCATAATTTGGGGTCAATCTTTTAAAATGTTGACCACAAAAGTAAAAAAAGATATGGGACGGAGGGAGTATCTTGTAATTCAGTAATTGTGATTATGATATTGAAGTTCTGCACTCTAAGAGGAGAAGAGTGTTTAATCTCATCTGCCTGTCCATGTTATCTCTTTCTTAAAAAACATGAAATGAGAATATCCTGCATTTTTCTTCACTACCAAGCTAATGTTGGTCAATAATTGTACCAAAGTATTCATTTTTGATTGGGTGTCAACTTATTTTTTATGCTCTCAAAATAAAGTCTCATTCTGTAGATTTCTATGTTCCCATAGAAGAATTTTTTTAAACGATCATTACCGTTTAATTGGTTTACTTTTTGGATTTCTGTAGCGAGCAGTTTTGGAACCAGCAATGCGAGGCTCTGACATGATTGGGCGAGCTAGAACAGGGACAGGGAAGACTCTAGCTTTTGGAATTCCTATCATGGATAAAATAATTCGTTTTAATGTGAAACATGGGTACATTAGTTAACCTTTTCTCACTCGATTCAACTCCTTTATTGGATATTAGTAGCTTAGCCACTATTAATACTGTTCTTTTTTGTGTAAGGAATTATTAAGAGAACGTTCTTTATTGTCAATAATGCAGGAAGGGAAGAAACCCTTTAGCATTGGTATTGGCTCCCACTAGAGAACTGGCCAAACAAGTGGACAAAGAATTTCATGAATCTGCCCCTAATTTGGATACATTATGTGTTTATGGTGGTGTTCCCATTGGAAGCCAGATGAGTTGGCTGGAGAGGGGAGTTGATGTGGTGGTTGGTACACCAGGTCGAGCTATTGATCTGATCAAAAGGGGGGCTTTGAACTTATCAGAAATTCAGTTTGTTGTTCTGGATGAAGCTGATCAGATGCTCAATGTTGGTTTTGCTGATGATGTTGAAACAATTCTAGAGAAAGTGCCAAGGAAGCGCCAGACAATGATGTTTTCTGCTACAATGCCAAATTGGATTCTGAAACTTACTCAGAAGTTCTTAAAAAATCCAGTTCACATTGATCTTGTGGGTTCCAGCTTTCCTTTCAATGCAGTCTTGCAAAAGAATAATTTTGATAATAAGCTTTATAAATGCATGTTCTTTTGAAATTCGCCGTCACTTTGTCATCTAAGCAATTAGCTTATTTTATGTTGTAGGTTGGAGATTCAGATCAGAAATTAGCTGATGGAATTTCCCTGTATTCTATAGCTTGTGAGATGCACCAGAAACCATCAGTTATTGGACCTCTTATTACAGTATGGAAGCATTCTGCTGCTGCAGATAAGATTTACTGCAATTCATATGATTTTGTTCAATTCTTCAACCAACTCATTAAATTTTTTTGTGTGTCTTCATTAGGAACATGCAAAAGGTGGGAAATGCATTGTTTTTACTGAAAGAAAACGTGACGCTGATAGGTTAGCATATGCCATGCAAAGAAGCTACAAATGTGAACCATTGCATGGAGACATCTCACAGAACCAGAGAGAGAGAACACTATCAGGTTTCAGACAAGGCCATTTCAACATATTGGTGGCCACTGATGTTGCTGCTCGAGGCCTTGATGTGCCTAATGTCGACTTGGTCAGTTTTCATTACTTTTTGAATTGAATATTTTTGGAGCAACATACTGATGAAAATATAAAGCACTTGTACGGTGAAATTTGAAGGGTGTATTTGATGCACCATTTGCAGAGAATTATTTAACAAAACTTCTTTCTCAAAAAACATTCCAGACTGCTACCGTCCACATACTAAGAGCATGTCCAATGGTGGGCCTCTATTGGATCCCAAAATATATTCTCTCTCTTGCCAACTCAAAAAAGCAGGGATTTAGAATCATTCAATCCAATGCTTGATCCCTCTATTCAAGTCCCAACTTTAGTTAAACTAATAATAAAAGAAAAAGTAAAGAAGAGTAAGAGGTAAAGAGGGGGGAGTTGGGACGGCCCAACTTGCAGTGACCAGTCCCAACTTGTATATTTACTCATGCAAGCCTAAAGAAGATGGGATGCCATGTAGGAGAGAGAGGAGGAATTGGGACTCCCAATGGACTTGCTCTAAAGTATCTGATGTGACTAGTTTTTCATAACGTAAAATTCAGTTTGTTTCAATGCATATTAAATGTTCATTTTTTAAACAACACACTTGATCAATTTAATTTTGAAAAATCTTGCAATATACACATTTGATATTTTGGGCAAGCATTTTTCGCAACCTATTTATGTGACACACACACACACACACACACTATACACACACACACACGCACACACACTAAAACAGTAAAATTGCTGTGCTGTGCTTACAATAATATTTAGTTGACTTGATGCTCAGGTAGTGCATTATGAACTCCCAAACTCTTCAGAAATCTTTGTCCATCGATCTGGCCGTACAGGACGTGCTGGTAAGAAAGGTACTGCAATCCTCATGTATTCAACATATCAATCCAGAGATGTGAAAGGCATAGAGCGTGATGTTGGATGCAGATTCACTGAGGTATGAATCTAAAGCTATGTTTTAATAAACTTATCCTACCATTTTTGTATTATACACCACATTTTCATTGCAATAATGGACCAATTTGACACCAACTTATCCTCGCTCCATCTCATCAAATTGAATCTATACCATTCACTCCCAACTCAAATCTCACACCAAGTCCAGACTCCCATCCCCAATTCTCACAACACTGTCCGCGCACCCTGCCGCCCTATGAGAAATACATCTTCTCCGGCTTTCTTTAAATTTTACAAAGTATCTCAATTCTCAGGCATTCTTCTAATATCTGGTTTTTTTCTTCTACCACAGTACCACGAAATCCTCCATATTCTCTTGTTCATTCTTCTTGAAATTAGTTATCCTCACATCCACCTTCTCTGCCAACAATGGACGGAAATGAAGTAGTAAATTTCAGAGGGTTCTTGCCATTGTTCTTACCTCATGGTGTATGCAATGAGGTGACTGAGAATCATACACAGTTTTTTCCTCCCAAAACACTAAATTTAAGGATAAATTAGTCATTTTAGTAGAAAAATGTAAAAGTTAACTGACGGAATTGGAACCCCATTCAATGAACACCTCCCGGGTTAGATAAACTTTGCCTTATGTTGGCATTTTTCAGATCACTTGAGTTTTCAAGCCCATTTTCCATATGAATTGTATCCATCTTGCATCTTCGTAAATTAAGTTGTTCCTCTTACCATATTATGTCACCTTCATTAATTATTGCATGTCCATTCCTCCAACAGCTCCCAAAAATGGAAGTAGAGGCTGGAATGGAAGACATGTTCAGTGATATGCGCCCTAGTGGCAGTCGTGGTAGTTTTGATAGTTTTGGGAGCTCTGGTGGTGGGCGCTTTGGTGGTTCTTCTGGTCGAATGGGTGGTTTTGGTGGATCTAGATCAGGTGGTAGCTATGGTGGAGGGCGATCTGGTGGGGGTTATGGTGGAGGCCGATCAGGAGGTGGTTATGGCGGAGGCCGATCAGGAGGATGGGGCCAGAGTAGCTCAAATCGTTCAGGTGGGTTTGGGAATTACGGTGGCTCTGATAGTGATGATATTTTTGGAGGGCCTAAAAGTTCTAATCGCCAAGGTGGTTTCGGAGATTTTGGTTCAGGCCGGCCTAGCGGGTTTGGTAGTTTTGGCGATGGCAACAACAGAAGTTCTGGAAGGAAACTTTTCTAGTTCTGCTCTGTGGTGAGTAACATAAATTAAACACATAACAGCATTTCATGCTATACGGGTTTATAGGATGTCATTCTTTTACGTGCAAATCTCTTTACTTTCGTACACATTATCATGTCATCTTTAGAAAGTAAACACTTAAACATTTCATTACAACTTAGAGGATGAATTCCCATAATGACCTTTTTGTTGCGTGAAACAGGCATTGAAGTTTAAAAGAAATATTGAGGACTGACCATTACGAAATGTATGGCGATCATTATGTGTATGTCAGCTCCCAGTGATCTCTCTACGTGTTGCTGGGTTCACGACGACCAGTTGCTGGAAAAAAAAGATTGCTATATCTTCATGTAAATCTCATTAAGGTAAACAGCCAATATCTTCATCTGTGTGAACCCAAGTGCCACTAGGAAAGTGTTGAGAAGCAATATGTAAACCTTCATATGTCTGTTCATAATAAGTGTGTTATTTCAAGCTTTTTTTTAGGCAAGTTAGGGTTAGGTCACCTGGTGAAACCTGAAACTGCAGCAGCCCTTATATTTCCTACTTTTTAAACAGTTGATTTTTTTTCTTCAACATTTGACAAGCAGTAGTATCTGAATGCAGACAATGGTATGGGCAATGTCGCAATTGTCGTATTTTGGTCCCGAGTTATTTGTATGTATGTTTTGGCGATTTACGGTCGAAACGAGTTTGTTTTATACCCGATTTGGTATTCTGTGTTGTTGACTGTGAAGGGGTTTATGAAATTTAAAAAAAAAACTCAACAGTGATATTTGTGATGAAAATCAATGGGGCTGGCAATGTATGCTTTTATGATGTGTTAGATGAGTTTGATAATGTCATGTCTTTAGATGTTGAAACAAAAATGAATAAAAAGCAATGTTCTTTGGTCCCATTTAAAGTTATGGTTCCGTTCAATTGGAGTATTTACGGTGTTCTATTTGGAAAAAAAAAGATAGTTGTTTGATAACAAGAAATTCCTGTAGCCAATAAGCAATCAAAGGGGACAGGGGTAATAACAATTAATTTTATGAACGAAACATTGTAGATTTGTAGGTGTCATTGTAACGGTTCGGGGTTAGTGTCAAGGATAGTTAATACTTCCTTCGTCCCATTTTAAAATATTTACTTCAGTTTACAGTCTTTAATTGAAGTTATTTTTAATTCAATTTATTTGAGAATTGGAGAAATTTATATATTTGAAAATTACATAAAAATCTCTTCAAAGTTAGAGGTGAAATTCTGGACTCCGTATTATTTCATCAAATGGGTAGTAAAAATAATTTTTAAAAAAATGAATGAAATTTTATCATGTAAATAAATAGTTTAATTTGAGACAGAGAGAGTAATTAATATTATTTGAATGGTTGGTATGTATTGTTATCTTTTTGATTGTTATCACATGATATTTAGGGTAGGTTAGTGATGTATGGAGTAATCTATATTAATACCCGTGCTTGTGTTAACAGGATTAGTATCTCTTAATCCACATAAAGTTATACGAGTATATTACTCTATCTTAGGTTTTTTTCTCTATCTTAGGTTTTTTTCCATTCATGCAAAAAGTTTCATATTGTATTTTCGTCATTACGTCACTTTCAACTATAATTTTCTTTTTCTTAACAATCTTGTCAATGTAATTATCGAATTTTATTTTTCTTAACAATTTTGTCGAACTTTTTGTTGAATGGATGAAAAAACAATTAAGTAAATATATAGTGCTATTGACGTTTTCTTAAGAATGCAATTGCGTACAAAATTCGAAAGTCCGAAAGTGGTTCACAACAAAGAAAGAACTCCCTAATGCAAAGTGCTATCCAAAATCCAAATGCCAAAGAAAGAAGTACCCCCTCCGTCCCAGTGTATTTGTTCAGTTTGTCTTTTTCGAGTCAAACTGGACAAACTTTAAGCTTCAATTAAATAAAAATCATAATGTATTTTAACATAAAAATGACTTTATTGGATTTATTGCATTGAGAACATTCAAAATCTGAAAGTAGTAAATGTTAATTATTGTTCATATCATTAAACATGTTGGCCTAACCACTTCAAAGGGATATGTATTTTTGGGACGGTTTTCAAGACGCTGGTTGTCAACGGGAGATACTTATTCATTTGGATGACTTACGGTACTACGCTTCCAAAATTGATGATTCTTACCTGAGTAAACCCTCACCAAGTATTGTCTCGAACCCATCCCCTCACCTCTATCAATTACACCCCGAAAATTTATTTTACTTTGAGATTACAATTATTCTATTCCTCGATAATATGTAAGCAGTTCAAACTTTAGAGTTAATTTTCATCCATAATTCTAATGTTTCTCAGTGGAGTTCTAGAGCCACCGACCATTTGGGACACCTGCGTTGTTCCGTTCACAAAATTGATAGTTCATACACATCTATTACCTTTGGTAAACCCTTCACACAGTCTAAACCTGAACCCGTCCTACACCTCCACCAATTGCAGCCCGCAAGTTTAGTTGACTTTAAGATCAAAAGTTTTGATTCCAAAGTCAACTAAACTTGCATGGTGCAATTGACGAAGGTGTGATGATATCTTTTTGGTTGGGATTGGGTGAGAATTTTATAAAGGTGTTAGGAAGGTAGAAAGTATCAATTTTACGAATGAAGCTCCGTAGAGAGACAATGTCTTACGTGACCGCTCATAGTGAGTGACGATGAAATCGAGTAAAGTTTTTATACATTTAACAAAAAAAATTAAATTCATTTTTATGCCGAAACCGGAATTAGAATTGTGAATCGCAGCTTCAACCGGACCGGAATTGAACCGCCTTCAACCTTTTAGGCTCTAGTCAAACAAAAGGAACCACCAGCGGGTCCAAAACAAGAACTGACCTCTACTCCCAGCAAACCTCCATTCCGTCCCGCCGCCCTCCGCCGCCGCCGCCGCCGCCGCGGTGTTAGTTCGACTGTGAGTTTCTTCCCCTTACTCTCCCTAGCGAACACATCTGCAGAAATTTTCATTTTTTTGTTGCATTCGTGTGTTCTTTTTTTCCATTTAAGGAAAGTTAATTTGTGGATGTCAAGTTGTGTCCTCCTCCATTGTAGGTTAACTCGCAGAGCAGAAGGGGAGAGTCATGAAAGTTCATAGCGTCTTCTTCATGATTTTACCTTCAAGTTTCCTTTTTATAACTCTAATTTGTTTTTTAAATTCATGAAGGGCGATAATGTTTCCAGAAATAATCGAATCCAACTCAATTCTTCTGTTTATTGATATTTATATTTCAAACATAAGAAATCGGCCTTAAAAATGAAGACGAAGTGAGAACGAGGAATTATCAGAAAATATGAAACCCTAGTCATTCCCTAACCCAGCTGTGTTATCTAGTGTTGACTGTTGAGTAATTTACCATGAAGCTCCCTTCTGGAATCCGATATAGTTACTACCAAGGTTTGGCGTGTTCGTGCTTCATACTCTACTTTTAGGGCTTGTTCTTTTCACCCGATCTGAATAATTCTGATTTGATTGAAATAAGTTCTAATCTGCTCTGGTCTTATCCTAAAGTTGTTTTTGATCTGATCTGAAGTGATTCCAATAAGAATAAGTAATAAGTAATAAGAATAAGTTGAAGAGAACTAACTCTTCGTAGGGTAAGGTCTGCGTACACACATCCTCCCCAGACCCTGCTATTGTGGGACTCTACTGGGTTGTTGTTTGTGCTTCATACTCTAGTACACCCGGCATCCGCATGATGAAATTTGATTTATGTTGAAGTAAAAGTAACCCAGTTCTGAATTCCATTGATTTCTGGTGGTTGATGTGTTTTTTTAACACACCTGCGGAGTGTGCGGATTGTAGAGGGATTGGTTTTGGAATTTGGCATCATAGCTTATCTGATTGTTTGCAGGTGAAAGAAATGATCAAAAGGCGGTTTTACAAGCTTGAGCATGGGCAGGGAGATGGTCCCTCTGACTCATCCTCATCTTCCTCTGAAGAAGATGAACAATACGAAGAGCAAGAAGTTCATGAAGAAGAATATGATGATGATGAAGACGACGACGACGACGATGATGATGACGATGATGATGATAAAAAGGAGGCAGTCACTGAAATGCTGAAGAAAAATTTGACAGGTCCTTCATCATCTTGTACTTCCCCGATCAAATTCGGATCCTTAGTGGTCTGATTGATTGTAGTTACACTCTCCTTAGATGGAAAAATAAATTGCATACAACAAACAATGACCTTATAAGTCCAAGTCAAATTCGCGTCAGTTTGTTTGGACCAAACCTCAATTGTTGTTTGTGTTAGGTCATTCCCTTTGAGGTGGGGGGACGGAGAGAGGTAGTAGAACACACAATTTCTTTGTTTTCTGTGCGACCAACTGTAATTTGGGTTTTGGTTCTATATTTTCTGTCAAGTGTGACGAATTGTAATTTGGGTGTTGAAACCCAAATGGGGTTTCACCATTTGGGCACCCTTAATAAGTTTATACTTCTTATGTTGTAAGTTGTTTGGAAAACTTGAATTAATTTAATGAAATGGTCTCAGACTTCCAGTGCTAATTTTTTGTTTTATACACAGGATATAAGAGTGAAGACAGCTCAGAGAATGAAGCAGATCTAGACTCACCAGGTTGAATGCAGTTACAGTTACCATCTTCTCTTGTCTTTGTTGTCCATGAGGATGGTTTGCCAACAATGGTCTTACCCAATTCCTTAATTGTCAAGTTTAAACTATTTCCCGACATTACAAAATCACCAGATAAGATAATCAATAATAACATAAATTTCAGATGAGAATCATGAGATGGGTGATTTGCCTTCAAGAATGAAATGCATTTCTAAAACTTTGCTTATCTATTGCAACAGTAGTATTAGTCTCATGGAATATATGAATTCTTTCACGTGTTTTTCTTGCAAGACTCTCCATCGGCATTTTATTATCAATTTATCATTCTCAAATCGCATATATGATATGAATCCTTGTCTTCATTCACAATTCTAAAGCTTTATGATTTTTTTGGTATTGTTATTATTGGTCAGGGTCCCCGACAAGAGGTGATGAATCAGAAAATAATCACCATAAAACTGCAGCTGAAGGTTATATCCCATATGAAAATTCAACCTACATTCTGAAATGTAAATCTGTTTTCAAGTGCCGGATATGCCCCAAAGTCCTCCTCTTGTCAGAGACCTTTTTGAAAGTTCATCTGGAATCGAGAGTAAGGATTTACTCTCACAACTTTGATTGATCATCTCCACTTAGGGCATGTTTGGTTGGAGGGGAGTGGGTGAGGATGGAAAAGCCGGGTGGCAATTAAAAGGGTTTTAAAAAAATTTAATCATCATCCTCTTCAAACCAAACACGCCCTTATGTCTTCCGTCAATTAATGGAGGGAGCTCTATTTGATTGTCAGAAACATGCGAGGTCCGAGAAACAACTGAAAGAAGGTAGGCTAAAGCTTATGCTGAATGATGATGGGAGAATTGAGGGCCAAGAGGAAGACGATTCACCAACAAAAAAGGTCAGTTTCTACTGCACTTTTATCTCGAACAACGAACTACTCTATGCAGGGAAATTTGGTTTTTGCACCCAATGTTTTATCCCAATTTTGACCTCGCATCTTTGTTTTTTCCTTGCACTCTACGTTTTACTTTAACATGTGACTTTACACCCACCCATGAAAATTGAAAATGCAAATACCATTCTTCTCTCCAATGCCATGTTTCATGTTTATGACTACATGTGGATAATAATATGCCATAGGAAAAGAAAGTGCGCAAACCAAAGGAGAAGAAAAGTTTTGAGGGGAAGGGACGGGGGAAAAGATCACAAAAGGTAACATTTCTCCAACCTTTTTGCATATGGGTGCGATTGCATGTGAAAATAGGATTAAGTGGTTTTATTTACGTCCGGCAGAAAAGGGATACTGGAAGAGCAAAGAACCGGTTCAAGAGAAGGCGAGAAAATGAGGTCTGAAATCTGTAAACCAGTGGCAGAACTTCCATGTTGTTCACAGTGGTTTTTGATAGAGGTATCATTTTGCACTGCCAGACACATTTCTTTCTCAAAGTATTATTTATTGCAGTACTAAGGCTTGAATTTTGTTAATGGTGGTTTAAGATTTATTAAGATTATTTAATGAGATTGTGATTCTGGAATTTTGAGGCTTTTACCATTTACTAGCAATTTTTTTTTATCAATTCTTAAATCAAAGTTGGACAAATGTTGATCAACAGGCCAAACTTCCTTCAAACACCTTATGGTTCTGCCTTTTTGCTGCTGTGAAAAGAAGGTTTAAGGTTCACTGGAACAATTCCTTCTATTTTGCAATTTGGGTGTCTTCATTTTTGTTTCTTTAATTTCATTCATTCTTCTTTTTTTTTTTTCTCATCTTCCATTATAACATACCCCCCCCCACCCCCAGAAAAAAACTCTTTATTTTCTTTTTGGACGTCCCAAAAACGTTTCATTTTTCTTTGAAAGTCAAGAATACCGAACTCAAAAATGCTGAACCGATAAAGTACTGCAAAGTTTTTCTCGTCGAGACTGCATTTTGATATTTATAATTTATTTAATGCGAAATTCAAATGCTAGTATGAATTTACATATTTTAAAAACAAATCTCTTAATCCATCGGGTCGACTCGATTAGATCATGAATGGTTCTCAACCCTAACCTAATATAATCTGAATTCGAAGTAACCAAATCTGATTCCGACCTTACCGACCGATTCAAGGAGATTTCCTTGGAGAAAGTAACCATTTAAAATTGGATAAAGCTACATGTACCCCAATTTTTGTACCCTATTTTGTACCCCGCAGGTTTGCACCGACACTTTGTGTTGGTGTAAAACTAATTTTTCTGTTAATGCACCAATACTTTGTGTCCGTGTAAATTTTTGTTAATGCACAAACACTTGTGTCGGTGTAAACCATCAAAATGTTTGTGTATAATTGCGATGTACAAATGGGTATAATATGTGGTGTAAGTGTAGCATGACCCAAATTGGGTCATGCTAATTTCCAATGATTAGCACTCATTTGCTTCATTTCCAATATACTCTGTACTAAAATGTACAGATTAATTACTATACTTTCTTCTTTTTATCGTTTTTTCGAGGTCAATGTGCCAAAAATGTGAACAAATATATAGAGAAGAGAATTTTTTAAAATAGTTAGTCCAACTTAGAAACTAAATCACCTTAAATATGCATATGGATGTCACATGAGATCTTAAGAAAAACAATGTTTTCAAACTCGTACTGACTGACTCCAACCGATCAGACAGTGACTCGCATAGGCTTCCGGCTCGGTCTCATACAGAAATCCGTTTACCTAAGAAAAGAAGAGGTAATTTGATGTACACAATGAGTAGGATTGATACGACCTTCAAAAACGAAAAAAAATCATGTCATTTCTCTAAAAATTGTACGATTTTGTATAATTACTCATAAATCTAATAAATGACATCGTTGTGCGAAAATTTTTACTCCCTCCATTTAAAAAGGAATGTCACAGTTTACGATTCAAAAATTATAAAAATTTGTATTTATTTGTACGTTTTCAGCGATTATTTGATAAAATAAAATATATTCTTCCCACATCTTGTTTTGAATATTTTTTGATGTAGTTTTTATATATGTAAATTTTACTTTTTTATATCAATTTTTAAATAGAATTAATTTAAAAACTCAAAATTTCAATTTATTTTGCGTAATGTGGCCAACGTCTTAAGGCGGAGTTATCCCTGGTAAGATCTGCGTATACACTCTTCCAAAACCCTATTTTTGTGTGATTTTCTTGAGCTTGTTATTAGTTATTTGGTGTTATAACATTGGTCGGACCACTGATTCAACGCGGGAACGCTGGCATAATCTAAGCATATATCAATTTTCAGAGCACGAATATAAACATATATAAGAGTAAAAATTTGGAGAGAAACAATTTCATTTATTGAATCTGAAAGTAATTTTGTGAAATTATGCCATTCTGAAATTAATAATTTAAATTTTCATTAAAAAAAACGAAACTAATTTCATCATGAAATCTTCTTACCTAAGTAAAATTGTGATTTAGCATTAAAAAAAGTTCTTAATTTACTCTTATGTGCAGTCGGCGCCGGCAATTCACCAAGCTTTCATTCTGATCAATGATTGAACAAAATGGTCAACAACAAGTCAACAATATCTTATACGGAGTACAATGGTTGAACCGTCAATTTTTGTGCACACCAAACTCCTTCCTTAAAAAACATTATAATAGTTACTCCATGTTAGAAATAAAGATAATACGAATATTGTTATGAACAAAATGATAGAGATATACCTTGATAAGAACACAAATGAAAGATCAAAGTGCAATGGAGAATGAAAAGAGAAGGAATGCAATGAGAGACTAAAGAGATGAATCCAAGGAGAAAGAATGCAAAAGATATCAAAGAGAATCATGTAGCATTTCAACACATAGAGCCTCTATATATATAGGCTTACAAAGGGGAAAACAAAGGTCTAATTTAAGGGGATAATCAAAGGACATGGAGAACATCAAAAGACATTTGTACATAACACCCCCCCTTGGATTTTGGATGTTCACCATTTAGGTAGACTTGAGCTTAAGACACTGCCTCGTTAAAACCTTGCCAAGAAAAACCCAATGGGACAAAAACTTGGACGAAGGAAAAAGAGTACAGTGCTTATAATGCTCTCCCTCGACATGGAAAAAGATCCTTGAGTTGATGCATTCCAATACCATTGATCATCTTCCTAAATGTCGTGGTTGGCAATGCCTTTGTGAACAAATCCGCAAGGTTATTACATGACTCTATCTGACAAACCTCAATGTCTTGTTGCTTTTGATGTAGCCACTTTTAATTTATGCAATACAAGCAACATTATCTTCATAGAGTAATGATGGAGCCTTATTCAAAGATAATCCAGAAGTTTCTCGAATGTGATGAACCATTGACCTTAACCATGTGCATTCTCGATTTGCTTCATATAGCGCCATTATCTCCGAGTGGTTTGATGAGGTTGCAACTAGTGTTTGCTTTACTGATCTACATGATATTGCAGCGCCACCACAAGTAAAACCATATCCACTTTACGATTTACCCTTATGTGTGGGTAAGAAAGATAGCCAGCATCAGCGTAACCAACAACTAGTGATTCCGAACCTTTCGAATAAAATAGGCCCATATCGGGTTGTTCCACGAAGATAACGTAAGATATGTTTAACATCATTCCAATGTCGTCGTGTTGGTGCTGAGCTATATCTTGCCAACAAATTAACTGAAAAGGCTATATCAGGTCTTATACAATTTGCAAGATACATTAGCGCCCCTATAGCACTTAAACAAGGTACCTCCGGACCTAAAAGTTCTTCATTATCTTCTCGAGGACAAAAAGGGTCCTTCTTTACATCCAATGATCGAACAACCATGGAACTGCTCAATGGGTGTGCCTTATCCATGTAAAATCGTTTTAGGACCTTTTCTGTATATGTTGATTGATGGATAAAAATCCCATTTGATACATGCTCGATCTGCAGGCCGAGACAAAACTTGGTTTTCCCAAGATCTTTCATTTCAAACTCTTTCATTAAATAGCTTGCAGTCTTTATTAACTCTTCTAGTGTTCCAACAAGGTTTAGGTCATTTACATATACTGCTATGATAGCAAATCCAACTTCAAATTTCTTGATGAAAACACATAGACAAATTGAATCATTTATGTAACTTTCTCTAACAAGGTATTCACTAAGACGGTTATACCACATTCTACCAGATTGAATCCGTATAATGATCTCTGTAACTTGATTGAGAATAACTCACGAGCTTTCTGATTGCATGTTTCAGGAATTTTGAACTGAGTACTTTATTCATCATATGTCGGGGTATTTATATATACACAGGGAGGAGGTAAAGTCTAGGTAAACAAGGTAACCAGATATTCTAAATAATAAGAGTAATATATCTGCCATATTTAACACTGCTCCTAAGATATATCATCGTTCATTATACACTAACAACATTATGCTACACGATAATGTTGGCTAGGTTCTTTAGGACCTATATTAACTGATACTGCAGGATCAGTTATGCTGCCTCAGTTATCTGGTCGTGCTCGCTCAGTCGACTTCCAAGAAAAAGTCTTATCACCATATGTGAACACATTACCAATCTAATTTCACCCTTAAAATTTGGTATTACAGGACCAAGTACTTCTTCGTCCTCTTCTGGGAGGCGATTAGAATTTTATGAATATATATATGAATGAACAACCATGGGTATGTTCAAAGGATGAGCTTTATTCATATTTCAACGTGTTAACATCTTCTGGATGTAGTTTAACTTATGGACAAATGTGCCATCATATAGGTGTTTAAAATACAATCCAAAGTATAATTTATGTCATGTCAAGATCTTCCATCTCAAATTCTCTCTTCAAGAGTTCAACAATTTTTTTTGTTTTCTCTATCTCTTCAGGAGATCTAATGATATTTATACGTCGACGTAAACTGCTATAATAAAGAATATTGAGAGCGATCCTTGAATGACAATACATAGGTTGATTTCAAATTTGTATCTTTTTTTCGAGGTATTCACTAGGTCAATTGTACAACATACGGCCAGATTACTTAAAACCATTCCACGATCTCTTCACACATGTCTCGATGTATTAATTTTATTTCTTTTGGCATTTTGAATCCTTCAGGGATTATTATCACACAGATGTCGATTTCAAGTGTCCCTTATAATTATGTTATAACGAAATCTATATCATTTATTTGAAGTTCTTTTGAGATTGTGAGGCCAATTAAAATTCTAAAAGGATATTGCATCCACTAGTGGAGAATACGTTTCCTCATAATCAACTCCTGAGATTAGGGAAAAACCCTTGCCTTACAAGTAGTACTTCATATCGCACAATCTCATTCATTTTATTTCTGTTTATCACAGACACCCATTTTAAACCTATTGGTTTGACGTCTATGGGTGTTCAGACTTCAGGTCCGAAAATATTCCGTTTATCGAGTGACTTATATTCGACCTTCAGGGTCTTTTTCCATTTTGGAAAATCATTTGTGTACTATCTACATGTACTCTTCTTTGAGTTTTAGGCATGTAATCTCTTTTATTGATTACATCCATTGCCATAGCATATGCAAGAATATCATTAACACATGTTTCATTTTGGTTCCATATTGTACAGTATCATACATAATTAATAAAGATCTCATTTTCTTTCGGTACCGATTTTCTTTAGAAAACTTTTTCTTCTGGAAGCATATTAGTCTCTTCCAGGACATTTACCTCTTTTAGGGTTTCATTTTCTTCTGGAATAGTATTAGTCTTCTTCTAAGACAGTTACCTCTTCTGGGGTTTCACTCATAATTATGTATGTGATTTCACTAATAGCATTTTTGCTATATATCTTCATTTTCGTGGGTTCTTATCTTTGAAACCAATTATTCTCCTACATAAAATGTTCAATAGTCACTTCTGGGACTACCTTAAATTGAGCGATGCATAAGTTGCTGGTATATGTAACTTTGTCATCCTGCTCATATATGTGAATGCATCGAGTAATCCATTTGCTCTTCATTGCAAATCAGACATCAAAATTACATTGACCACTTCAGGAGTCGAAAATTTACAATGATGCATTTCATATAATTTATTGTATTACCAGTCTTTCATTATTCTTGTCTCCCCCTAAGACTAGGAATATTTCATCATAAAATTGACAACCGACTTACGTTGATGTTAATAATTCTCCTTTCAAAAACTCTAAACATTTAACAATAGACGAGGAGTTATAGCCAATGTCAATACACAGTCTTCTACATTATATTGAATGCATTGTGGGGGAGAGATCATATAAGGCACACAATCAAACAATCAAATATTGTGAGAAGGGACAAACTTGTTTCTCTTCAGGAGATATCAAGTGTAAGAAACTCAAAAATTTGAAGATTTGACATTTTATTTATAGGGAAGGATTAATAAAAATGAACATGTGTATATAAAATACATGCAAAAGAGAACTTCAGGTTCTTATATGTTGGAACTACAGGTTCCTTATAATAAGACCACCTTTTTATGGTTGAGAAAATATCTAGAATTCACTTCTAACCAAAGTGTTTACAATTGACACATAAAATTCATAATGAGCACTTTATTTGCAATATCGTAGTAAATCTTCTTTCTTGAACTTCAGGTTCACATCTTCTTTAATTGAAGAATATATATAATCTAGCATATGTCGTGGAATTTATCTTCCATTCATCTCCTTCAAAAACTTTCCCTCAGTGTCTACCTACCATTGTGGTACCTTGATAATTTCTTTTAATTTATGCCCACTAAGCATCTGCTCCAAATAATTACCACATAAATGAAGATTCAAAAACCAGTATAAAATGCTTTGTTCTCATAATCAAAAGTATAGCCACCAATTCAATGCATTTTGCATATTAGCTAGAGCTACAGACTCTTATGTGACTAATGGTGTTCAACATAACCTATAAATTATGTCCATAGGACAAATATCATAAACTACGGGTTACGAGTTAATTGTCAACAAATATGACAAATATAACGATGCATCATATATAACATTTAAGTTGTGATCACGAATAGTTGATGGGCCCAATCAATTATCCTTGAACAATTTCTTAATATGCATGAAATGAATCTCAGGTTTCATTAGTAATAATCTCATAATAATCTTCTAATGAGAACAAGACTATAGGATTTTCTGGTCCTTATAATAACAGAAACTTGTTCATCAAATAGTGCTCACTTGAGTTCTTAATGATTTTTTTCTTCACACCACAAACTAAAATGTGATAATTTAATTGGTTATGTTTAGAATAAAAATTGATTCAGTAAACTTCTGGTTTACGTGAAAACAAATTTCGATCAAGTGTCATATAATATTCATTTCCACTGGTATCTTAAACATTAATAGAGACTCCTTAAACAATAAGGATTTAATTGTTTATACCCAATAGAATATTCGTCAATGAAGGACGATAACTATTCTCTCAAAATATTCAATATTTATGAGACCTTTATTACTTCTATTATGCAGTTCTTATAATGCAATGCTCCTCTGAAGCTATCTATCAGTTTTGTATAAAAAGAAAATTATATCCACACTAACTTCTTTTATCACAAGAGAAAAGAAGCTATTACATCTAAAAAAATATAATATGTATAATCACTCATTTGATTATAATATATTAACTACATCATTCTTCAGGAACATCGATGAAAAATCATATATAGATTAGAACAAAGGTCTTGAAATATCAAAACATCTCTTTTTAATGAGATTTTTTTATACTAAAAATTAGCCACTTCAGGTGGTAATTGAATATTATAAGACCTTAGGTAGTATCTCATATACCCATATATTGTGTTTTGATGAACATGTTGACTCTTTTTTATTATTGTGAAAAATAAATAAATTAATGTGTATTGATTGAATAATAGGGTTCTTTTAATTAAAAAAACGGCTTAGGTACTTGAAGGGTCTCAATTATTATTATTATTATTATTTATTATGCATTATTATTATTATTATAGCGGAGGTTACAATTAGAGCAAAAATATAGACATAATGATAAAATAGAGCACATTACATAATCACAAATAATAAGTCTATAATAATAATATTACTATTATTATTATTATTTCTTTGTTGCATAGTAAATAATAATGTCACCTATTTATTCATGTGGCATACTCAAATCTTCATGTTTGAATTTCACTGTTAATGCTTCGAGCATATGAAATCAGAATATGAACTTCAAGTTTACTAACCAAAAGAGAAAAACTAAAGAAATGAAATTTTTTTCGACATAATATGTACTCAAACTTCAGGTTGAGTTTTATCATATAACCTTCAATTTTAACACATAATGTAGGCTTCACATGCCAATTCTCTAATATATTTAGGATCGATATTTAGATTCAATATATCTTCAAGTTCACTAAAAAACTAAAATAAATAAGTGTATATGTATATGTATGTATCTATAACATGAATATCAATAAGGACAAAAAATGAAGGGGAGTAATTTCTATAAAATTAGAATTTTTTTGCTATCGTGCTGATAACGTGTTAGAAATAAAGATAATACGAATATTGTTATGAACAAAATGATAGAGATATACCTTGATAAGAACACAAATGAAAGATCAAAGTGCAATGGAGAATGAAAAGAGAAGGAATGCAATTAGAGACTAAAGAGATGAATCCAAGGAGAAAGAATGCAAAAGATATCAAAGAGAATCATGTAGCATTTCAACACATAGAGCCTCTATATATATAGGCTTACAAAGGGGAAAACAAAGGTCTAATTTAAGGGGATAATCAAAGGACATGGAGAACATCAAAAGACATTTGTACATAACACTCCATATATTATTACTGATAATATTTAGGATGGGGTATGGACAACTGGATTGGGCAATAAGACACTTGGGTTGAACCACATTAAAAGATTGAATCCAATCGATTAGTTAGTCCAACTCAAGAGCTTATATACCGGTTATTTTACTCTTGAACTTCCGATGTGGGATGCACTCTAACACTCCCCCTCAAGTGGACAACCGGGCCATTTTGAATCTAACCGGTTGACCACTTGCAAATGAACTCCCATTCCCTTGATTTTTTTTGAACGCCAACACCTAAAGGACCACGAGTCGCTGGGTATGGACTTCCAGACGAGCAATCGCGTTAAACGGGCCACAAGCCGTTGGATACATACTCCATACGGACAACTGGCTAAAGACAAACGGGCCGCTAGGAATGAACGTCTAGACGGACACCTTGACAAATGGTATCGGAGCCAAACCCTGAGACATCACGTAAACCCTAGGTCTGCTTCTGTCTCTCGTTCGGAAGTTGTCTTCGCCGGTAGTCCTCTGCCGGCTGGTCGTTTGAAGTCCTTCACCGGTGCACTGTCCCTGATCGTCGTCTCCTCGGCCCCGTCCGTCCAGCGTCACCGGCCAGATTCGTCCACCATCATCAGGCCCGTTCATCCGCCGGCAAGTCAACCTAGTTGGTGCCTGTCTCGCCTGTCCGAGTCCCCTGTTCGCCCGACGAAGATCTGTCAGTCGAAGAATTACAATTAAAGTCATTCAGTTCACTAAATTTTACAATTACTAATCCAAAATATTCATTGAATTTGATTTTTTATGATAATGTATGTATACATGATTTGTGAATTGAACTAGGCATGAATCTCTAAACCCTTTTTTCATTGTTAAATCTCTTCTCAGTGACCATTCAACCGAATCTGAAGAGAGTCTCGGAATTAAAACTCATCCTTTTTTCTTCGTTGTTAAATCGATCACGGTTCAATCAACGATAAAGATAAAAAAGAGCATTATATTATGTGAGATTAACCATGTATCATAACCGGATACTTAAACTTAACTTCTTTATAGTACCGAGTATTTAATAGTCAATAAAACTTGATGGATGTACAGTAAGATTTCTACACCAAGTATATCACAGACACACAAATAACAATTGTTTGTATAATATACTGATCTTTATTGTCAGTGATACACTTGATTTTAGTATTAATCTTTTTATCTTATAAAAATTTTAAATTCATGGAGTTTAAAGAATTTGTTGAAAAATAAAAAAAATGTTTGGTAAAATTTGTTTAGATAAGATAGAATTGTTTTAAATAAGGGTAAAATTTGTTTTAAGATGTCCAAAAATCCAATTTTATCATTTTCGTGACCTCTTTTGGGTTCTTTTCCGGGCCTCTATTTCGTATGTTTGGGCCATGCCTTACCGTGTGATCGATTGTATAATCAAATCTCCTGATCATATTATTGGGCCGTGTCTCTAACTCGTGGTATTGGACCTATTATCGACCCACTAGAGGAGAGTTACTCCAAGCTACATCAGTTAAAAAATTATCTTCTCGTTCAGTGTTCGCATGGTCAAATTTTATTAATTTTATTAGCTTATTTTTGTTTTCTATTCGATAAAATAATGTAATTATGTTACCTCTAATTTTAAAAATCTTTTGATGTAGTTCTTTAAATATGCAAATTTTATTTTATTTATTTCACATCATTTTTCGTATAAAATAATTTGAAAATAACTTCAACCAACATCATAATGTACAACGAAAAGATATTTTTTGGACGAGAGAAGTAATATCTACTATCTTTCTCTAAAAAATTGCCACTTTTTTGTCAAACTGTGGCATCCATTTACCACGAATTACATATAGTTAAAAATAATTAACTATTATAAAAATTTGGTATTTCAAAACTATATTTTGAAATAAGCTTTATTTTACTAAATTTTACATTCTAACAGAATATATTTTTCTCATAATTCATGCTCAAAGGGTGCCATAAATTAGCTAAAAAAAATTAAAATATGACAATCTTTTAGGGAGACAGAAAATATTAAAGATATCAAAAAGTGTAATAATTTGATGGAAGCAAAGTGGAAGGCAGCTACGCAAGTAATGACATTCACCGTCAAAAAAAATTGTCAAACAAAAGTGGAAAGTGAAACAAAAAGACAATCCAAACATGGCAAAATATATTACTCCTATTAGAGTGGCTGCTAATAATCATTAACCCCTATTATAATCATCAATTTAAAAAAAACAAAGAATTACAGGAATTTTTTATTCAGTTCATTATTCACTCAAAAGTAAAACATTTTAATAATACTCGAAGAAGTAACTTTTTTAGCCATATTGTCCAAATACAAATTGAGTATTTGGCATGTTTTAATTTAAAACTTTGAGTAATAATTTAATGTGTGGGGTTAAAACCACATTGCTAATTTAATGTTGTGTTTGAGAAGTTGAATTTGGATTTCAAATCCAAATTTGATCTAAATTACTTGTTTGGGAACACAAATAACTGTCATTTACAAATTCAAATTCAATTTTTCTCTAATTTAAAACTTGTAATTAAAAATTGATCTTCCCTTATATAATAACTATTGTTACATAACAACCCGCTTTCGTTATTATCTTTGCCGACTTCAAAATTTAAATTTTAGAATTGAAATTCTATGACTTCCCAAACAACATTTGAAATTTGAAATTATGAAATTTTAAATCTTAGAATTGAAATCTAATATTTCAAATGAAATGTAGTTCCCAAACACTACCTAAATTCATTGTTTTATGTTAATTTATGATCGAAGATACTTTAGAAATCAAAACATGAACAATTTTTTAAGATCGAATGGAATATCAAAGTTTTCAATATTTCCGAGTAACTTTAGCAAGCTAACCGTAAATCTTTTATAATGCAATTACTATAAGGCTCCGTTTGGTACATGGAATTCAAACTATGGAATTGGAATTGAGAACTTCAATTCCAATTCTGGTGTTTGGTAGAACAAAAATTATGTGAATTTGGAATTGATAGTGCAAAAAATGAATTGGAATTGACAGAATTTAATTCTATGGAATTGAATCCCATGGAATTTCAATTCCAATTCAATTCCAATTCCGTATACCAAACGAACCCTAAATGGAATCACAAGTTTCCTATATGGGGTAAATATGGAAAAACAATCAACTCAACCTTTATTAATTACTAAAAGAATGAAATAAAGACAATCACAATAATACACTTAGCTTCTTGATCTGGACTCTCTCTCCCAGTCAGTCTATTGTCAGTTATATATATCTCTTCTGAGTACCCAAAAGTATTGAAGCTTTGGTTTACAAAAGGAATAATGGAGCAAAAATCTGTGTTTGTTTCTGTTGCAGTTGCAGAGAATATTATCCCACTCAATAAGGTATATTTCTTTCTCTTTTTGCTACTCGTATATGCATTTACATAATTAGGGATTTAGGGGTATACACTTAGAACTGAGTCTAAAATTATCGTTAAATATTTGATAAAATAAAATATTCTTGTCACCGATTATTTTGTATATACATTTTTTTATTTACTTTTTCAATATATAGTACAGGTAGAGTACTTTTTATTTATATATACACATACCAATTTATAAACAAAATGACATTGTTCACGTTGTTCGAAATGAGATTATAGTTTTGGAAGAGATGGAGTAAAAAATTTCAATTTTTTTTTACGGAGTATCTATATTTAAAAGTTATATCAAATGTTATATTCCATCTGTCCCAAATTTATCGTCCTTATTTCCTTTTGGGACTGTCCCAAATTAATCTTCCTCTTTTTTTTTGTAGCTCGCCTTTTTTCTCTTTCCCCTGCACCACTTTCAACCACACGGTTTTACTTTTCTCAAACTCCGTGAAAAGTAAAATTAGAAGTAATTAATTTGGGACGGAGAAAATATAAAACAATAAGTGATATACTCCGTAACTATTTTCTCATTCATGAAATTTGCAGCAAGAAGAGAACTTCTTCAATAGCAAGGGAAAATTCAATCCATTCTATAACAGAGATCCACAAGGAAAGTGATAGCCACAAGTCTATTGAGGAGAACATTGTGGATGACCATTTTGAATTACATGTAAGTTCTTTTAATTAAAACTATTTAATTTTTATTTTATTTTTTTTGCAGATTGGACAAAAAAGAGTTCCAACTTTAAATTCACTAAGTTCAAAAAAAGTTGAAAATGAGAAATGTGAAGTTGAAATTTGTAAGAGAGAAAAATGTTACTATGATTTCTCACTATATGAATTCATGAAATTCAAGAAAAATATTCGAACTGAAAGTGGAAAATTTTTACGACGTTTCTTCTAATTTCCCACTTATTAGTTTCTCGAATCAAGAAAAATGTTAGATAAAAAGTGAGTTTTAGATTTAAAAAAATGTTAGATAAAAAGTAAGCATAAAAGTTGTAGACTAAAAAATTAAACATCTCAATATTTGATTATTTTATAGCTAAAAAATATGACTTTATTTTAATGAGTATGACAATTAATTATCACCCATTTTTATGCTACTCAACGTAATTTATTACTCCCCCGTTTCTTAAAACCCTTCCTCTTTCATTTTTTTTGTTTTTCTTAAAACACTTCCCCTTTCTATTAAAAAACCACTTTTACCTCTACTTTTTCATACTCTACTTATCACATCATACTTTTTCACTAACAACTAAACTATCACATCTTACTTTTACCCATCACATCAAGGGCAAAATTGGAAAGTCAACTACAATTTAACACTTCCTTATTTTCCCCCAAAGTCAAAAGAGTGAACTCTTTTGAGAAACGGAGGTAATAAAATATTGAGTATTATTAGTAAAAAAATACCTCTTGAAAGCAAGCTAGCATGGTTCCGGAATAGCACTCATTTCAAGGAGTTATTTACGCATTTTGCTATCATTCTTTAAAATACTCCCTCCGTCCCGGAAAACATGAGAGTTTTGATTTCGAAGAGAAATTTATGGGGAGTGTATTTTGGTATTGAATTTCCAAAAATGTCTTTTGATGTGATAGATAAAAGTAAGATTTGATGGATAGATTATTAGTAAAAAGGTATGATGTGATAGGTAGGGTATGAAAAAGTAAGAGGTAAAAGTGACTTTTTAATAGAAATGAGAAGTGTTTTATGGGACGGATGAAAAAAGAAAGGAGAAAGGTTTTCTGGGACGGAGGGAGTATGAGGTATTTTGGATACTAGACAACTAAATCTATAAGTATATACTCCCTCCGTTCCAAAAAACTTTTTCGGCGGGTTTTGACTTTTGGGAGGGAAAGATATTGAAGTTTGATCAAGGTAAAACGAAGACAATAAAAACAAGTTGGACTCAGAAAATGTCAAAATGCATAGAGCGTAGAAGATAGGTGAGGTGAGTTCGGTTAGATTTAAGAAAAATATGGGTAATTGTATCCATTTAGACAAAATTAAAATGTTTTATGGGACGTGTAAGAAGTGAAAGTTGAAATGTTTTAAGGGATGGAGAGAGTATATCTTAGTCTAACAAAATATATTCGACTAAGGTCCATTTTCCCTTTTAGACGTTCGAAGGCAAGAAGCACATAAAGTGCTCGCTATCAATTCCTGCAAATGTTAACACTAAAAGCTTAAAAAGGACCGATTCTACCCGGCATTTGATCCGTGTTATATCTACATCCGCTCGGTTGAACCCCGATAACAATGCCTTGCCTCCTAAGCTATCACCACAAACGAACAACGGTAATATCCATCTCTCTTTTCTCACACCTTGTTAGTGGTATTATTGTGGTTCGTTTACCTCGTACTTTTGTTCTCAAGATGGTTTTTTTGAGGAATTTATATAAATAACACTAAAATATAATGATTTTCCCTAAATAACATCAATGTATTTTTTCCCCAATGTAGCACTTTTAGTCATTATTTAAGTAAATGTTTGTTATCACTCGACATTATAGACATTATTAAGTGCTATTTAATTAGGGAATAAAACAGTTTAAGTGCTATTTAGAGAAATGACTTAAGTTTTATTTAGTGCTATTTAATGCAAATATTTCTTTTTTACCTACAACAGTAAGTGCAGGAGATGTGTTGGGGGAAGACATTGCAGAGGAAGAAGGCGTTTGTAGGATTTGTTTCGAGGAGCTCGGAGAAGAGGCGTTCAAAATGGAGTGCAGCTGCAAAGGGGGTCTCGCGCTCGCCCACAACGAGTGCACGTTGAAGTGGTTTGGCATTAAGGGCAACGCGGTTTGCGACGTTTGCAAGCGCGAAGTACGAAATCTTCCCGTTACACTGCTGAGATTACAAACCTTTGCTTCAACAAGTGTTGTAAGAAGGCCAATAATGGTCGAGCCTAGACAAGAGCAGCATGATGCTTATCAGCACAGGCATGTTTGTTCTTTTATGAACCCATAGGTGCTTCTCATACTTGCATAAATTAATGTTTCCATGTTGTGGTTTCTCATTACTAGCTACTTGATGGGGAATAACCCCACGCCAGCACTAGGGCTGACATCGGGCTTGGACGTTCCTGCCCGGCCCAGAGCTCCACTCGTCCTGCTGCCCGGCTCTACGCTCCGCTCGTCCCTCCTGCTCGGTTCAGAGCTCCACTCGTCCTGCTGCCCGGCTCTGCGCTCCGCTCGTCCTCCTGCTCGGCTCAGAGCTCCACTCGTCCTGCTGCCCGGCTCTGCGCTCCGCTCGTCC